AAAAAGGCTCATTATCACAAATATTATTATTACATGATTATTTTACTTTCTTTATGCTTAGTATATTGTTTGTGCTAACACTTGAATTTAATAGAAATTTATTTTCGTATATCATGTTTAAACGGTTAATTTTGCATTCATATGCTTAATATCTATGAATTTTTACTTCCATATGCTTAATATATTGTTTTCTCTTGGAATTTATATCGTTCCAAGAGGATCTCTTGGAAAACTTGGGAATTTATATCATTTATTATTTAACTTATTTTGATTATATGCACTAAATGTCAAGCTTACTCCAGCTTACTTCCATGTGTTTAATATCTGCTAACCATACTCCGTTTATCCTCTGTCCTGGACATCAATCAACCATTGGTGAGTTCAGCCAGTAAAACTGCAGCTGTGCAAATAAGTTCTTTGCCAAAGCACCAACAGGTGTTTTGCAGAAGAAAACCCTATACTTGTGTTTATTGAGCATTAGCTTTTCTTATATGGAGCAGTTAATTTGAGTTATTTTGTTTTGTGTAAAGTTTTGCATTAAATTCTCTTTCAACTGATATTTAAACATTTACATTTAGTGAAACAGTTTTTTATTAGGATGTAGAGACATGCAAAAAATAGATGTAGAAATGTGAAAATTAAATATCAAGTATCAAGAATTCTAACAACTACTTTAAATCTCTCTCTTTTTTTAAACATATATATATATAAATTTTCGAAGCTAATTTTTTTGACAAAATTTGATGCAAATATTAAAACTCATAATTGTTGCCCACTTGGGAATAAATGTAAACTTCAAGGTTAATCAACTGTGTATTATTATTATTATTATTATTAAATGGAATAGAATTATAAAAAGTATGCATTGTATATTGCTTTTGCTAATGGAATAAGTGCATGGGTATGCATCTAATGATTATTACTAACTTCTTGATCGTGTATCTGTTGTTAATTAGTATATTTGTGAGAGCTTCGTGCAAAATTATTTTGCATTTTCTCATGCTTAATCTTTGGTTAATTGACATATTATTAAGCAGGCACCTGTGTGTCAGTTTAATAACTTCTGCTATTTAAATAGATTTTATAATTTATTTAATTTATAACAAAATCAAAATGTATGCAGGATTTAATTCTGTTAAATATTTTTCAGTTAGATGTCCATAAATTTCTTTGTATTCTCATAGAATAATTTATAGTATTCTACATGAGTAGACTAAACCAGTAAATGCCTTATTTAACCCTTCTAACCATAATATGAGAATTTATCTTTGGTGCTACTTATACATTGTGCTAACACCTCTGGCATTTTCTCACAGATTGTTTGTCTCTGAGATTTGTGGCATTTTCAAATTATTTAAATTTTTAGATAACTTCAATCCAGTGTTTTAATGTTAGGCTTCTTTTTAGACTTAAATTTCTTTTTTAGTCATCTAGTATTTTTTTAGCTTGATAAATACATAAATATTCTTATCTTCACATGAAGTATAAATTCGGGGATCATTTCTCCTAAGATCTGAATCACAGTTACTTCGATATAATCTGTCAAAAGTCTCATTAGATTCATTTATCATATGCCTTGTTCATCAAACTTCTACAGACAGTTTGTTATCTTCGTGTAATATTAACTATATCTGGGATTCAGAACTTTTTTGGTACTTTTCCGTTTCACCGGCGCAAATCTTGCCAAGCAGATTTTATTGGCGACAGCATACCGTATACAATTATACACATAAAAAATTTTAACAAATGTTAAGTTCTAAGAATTTTTTTATTTTGAAGGCAAACATTTTAATATCATTTAAAATTTTGTAAAAAGACAAATAAAAAGGTTTTAATTTGAGAATTTATTATGCTTTCATGGTTCAGCACCTGATTCGCCAGTTTATATAATGTGACCTCAAGTGATCTCATTTCAGGTAAACTATGCTACAAAAATCTAATTCTCTTAGTAATTATCTACATTAATTTCAAGTTAAAAATCTTAATTTGAAGTTTAATTTGAAGTTTAAATGCAGGAATTAATTTCAATCTGTACGAATAGCTTACTCAGAAATTATGTAAAACCACAGTGCTGTACTTTGCTCTCATTAGAATTGATGAATTTCACTCTTGACTTTGCCTTCGGGTGAGCGGTGTGATTGCATCCTAATTGACTTAATTACTGCAAATGGCGTTAGGGCATAACATTGAACTATCTGTCACTAAAATTATCTATTAACTAAAATTCTATGTAATTGTATTCCATTATTAAAAGAAACAATCAATCTGATAAGAAATGGCTGCAACTTGTTTTGAAGATGAGGTGTAAAAGGTTACCAACGATGATATTCCGTTTGGCATCAGTTATACCATTATTGATGACTTTATCGCCTGCGCCTACAAAACGAAAAAGTACCCTTTTTTGCTGCATGCATCTTTTTCACACTGCTGGAAATTCAGCCGCCCCCTCTTTCCGAAACTTGAAGAATAAAAATACATTTATTTACATTTAAATTATTTTTAACACGCTTTATTATTTAAACTGCAAACAAGTGTAGAAAATGTTGATAAATATTAAAACTTGAGTGAAAATAGTTTTTTTATACTGAACAGCTAAATAAAAGGTTGACCAACCCCCCCCCCTGAAACGCTAAAAATTCCTTATGATTGAAAACCACTGAACTATATTGTTATGAAATATAAGAGGTGGGTAACACATCATATCATTCATTCTCGGTTGGCCTTCATTCGTGAAGGTTGTGCGTTTCTGTAGCTTTTGCCTGGCTCTTGCCACATGACTTTTGTTAGACGTCCCCATTTCATGCATTTACATGCCTCGCTATGCTTAATAAGCATCACAGTGTTCTCGTAGACCAGTCCTATGCTATTCTGCACTGCTTTGGGCATTCAGAAAATAATTCAGAGTATAAAAAATTATTTCATCTACTTAGAAATGTTGATGATCTTCAACAGCAGTTGAAAGAGGGTAAACCTGTTAAAGCCACTTTACGAAAAGCTGAAAAATTTCTACTCTATAGTGGAATCAGGAAATATGTTACATAACCAGTTTTGTGATCCTAACCATGCCAAGATGTTCAAGAAGGATGACAAGTTTGCTATTGAATGCTTCTGTCGGCAAAATATGAGAAGAAATAAGCTGTCTGTGAACTCGCTGCCTGCTGCCCCCGCATTTAAGAAGGATTCGTTATCGAACTCAAAAACTGCTTAATGATGGTGAATGGATAAAGCCCCAGAAAACCGCCAAACTGACTACTGTTCAGACACCTGAGCCAAGTAATTCACCTATCAAGTGGACTCCTGCCTCAGAGACTATCACATATATTTCCACGTATAATAACTTCGATGTGCTGTCTACAGTTCTCCCTGCGGAATCTGTGGACTATATTAATGAAATTACTACAAGAGACGTCTCAAATGAAGACTGATGTTTCCATGCAAGTTTTGAAGAAGGAAAGAATCCCTCCAATCATTTATCCCTGGCTATGATGAACATGGAGTGAAATAAGAGGTCTCTTCTCCAAACATGGAGTTAAGAACTTTACGAGAATGCTGACTCGAAGATAACCATCCTGTTTGACTCTGCTGAACATCTTGATCTAGCGTTGGTTGCCCTGATGAAAAATAAAATTCAGTTCAGCACATTTAGAGCAAAAAAGGATACTACTTAAAAGGTTGTAATTTGAGGCATCACTGATGATTCTTCCTTTGAGGATATCAAGAATGAACTTTGCAGTGAAAGATTCCCTGTGATTAAAGTATCCTAATTCACTCAGGAAATATATGGCAATGAAGTAAAACTTCTCATTTTCTATGTCTCTCCTTCAGAGAATCAATGTTGGAAGAAATATTTATAGGAAGAAGAAGCTACTTGACCTGAAAGTAACTTTTCACAAATTTCAAAAGCAACAGAAACAGAATGATATATTTTCAATGCTAATGATATGGACATGGGCAGTTATTCTGCAACAATTTACCAAGATGTTTAAAGTGGGGACAAGACTATCTTACCTACACTTGGTAAACTTCAGAAAGAGAATAAGCCTGCCTGCGTCAATTGTAAATTGGACTATGTAGCGTTGGCCAAAACTTGTGAATTCAGACTGAAAATTGGCTATACGGAAAGTTCTAGGAAGCAGTTTTAGACAACCAAACGACTAGTTTTAGAAGCTACTACTAGCAGTCCTCTGTCGAATGGAGAGCAAGTACTTAAAGACAAAAATCCAAGTGCGAAATCTTATTCTGATGCTGTGAAGCAAGATAAGAAGGATTTTCAGGTGGACTATAATCTTAAGAAACTTATATGGCAAATTTTTTAAATTTGCAGAAAAATGTAAAAAGCTGCAGTCTTCCCAGGAAAAGTAAGATTACATTTTAAGTAAGATTACTAACTAAACATTTTTCTCTTTACTTCTGGAGGGCAATAGTGGATGGCACCACCTTGTGGCCTTGTCTCGTTGTCATGCGTGAACTCTAGCTGTCATGAAACTCTGATGTCTTGGCTCTTTTCTTCAGCTCAGAACTTTTCCTTCCGGAACTTAGTGTATCCAGAACTTCTTAAGTTATGCACCGTAATGGCATTATTCATCATTGAGCAGAACACATTGAGCTTTTCGTGATATTCCTGCCATAACCCTTCAGATTCGGATAACACATCATATGCTGAATTCACTGAGGAAGGACAAATTTTCAGGGTGAACTTCACCTTTCAAGAATATTCTCTTTGAAGCAACTAAAACAAATTTAGCATCTCTTTCTCTTTTTTTTTTTTTTTTTTTTTTTTTTTCCCTAATTTTTCACTATTAATAAAAGAACTTTGCCACTTTTTGAGAATTTTTATTATCATTTTGATCTTTTTTTATCTTTTTGAGAATTATCTGGAGGGTAAGATGTTTTTACACATGCTTGCAGATTAATACAGAAGTGCATGGATTTTATGGATATTTTTGTAACCTGTTCTGCTTTAATGTATCTCTTAATTAAATTCTGTGTATTTTTTTCAGAAGAGGGTATCTGTTAACAATAAGCCTGCTATTTTTAAGCATAAAGATAATGTTGGTATGTATATTGATTTGTAAAATTTACCTTAATAGTAAACATTTACTATACATATATGTCATTTATTTTTTTCATGAAGATAGGATATACTTCTATGTATAATATCAAAACTGCAGTTATTCTCTTCATATGTAAACTGTATGTGTGTAATTTTAAATGTTCATGAAACATGTAAAACTAATTTTGTTATTTTTTGTACAATTGAATTTTATAATTTAATTTTTACACTTTATGTGATTTTCAATTTGAATGATAGATTTTGTATGTCAGTTAGTTTAAGGTGCCCTCTAAATTTTATGTGGCACAGGTGGAGAACGTGCAACTTCCATGAGTTTCTTGTGGCCTAATAACTACTGATTGTTCTTCACCGCAAATAGTCTTAAAAGTAATGTTATGTGTTTGCTAAAATTTGACTAACCAACCATTTAAGGCTTTAAAGTTCTGTCATCTCAGACTTTCCAAAACTTCTTTTTCCTTTTCATGTAAGAATACTCCACCTACAAAATTATTACTTGTTCTTACAAAAAAAAAAAAAAAAAAAAAAAAAGAAATCACATGTTTCAGTTTGTCTAAGTTTTATATTTTTGGAATGTTAATTTGAATTAGTAATCCATAAAATTAAAAATATTTTGGATTAAAAATATTATGAAGAAATAAAATTGTTTCTCATCTATCCTTTAGCACAGGATTTATTTGGTTTTTACTTATTCCCAATTTCTTCCCTAAATTTCTCAAACTAAGCTTTTCAATTTCTGCTACATGTATCTGTGTGTATATCTGTATCTATATATATTACATATGTTTCTGACATCTTTAATTTAATTTTTTTAAATATACAATTTTTTTATATTTTTTGTATTTTGCGCTTTTTTCACTTTTATTGGCATTTTTAAACGTTGTTACTTTCTGCCTGCTATTAAGGCTTCTGTGTATTATTGCTATTAGTACTATTACGTACTTATTTTTAAAAAATAAGTCCTACAAAATAAAGGCATTTGAAACTTAGATCAATGAAGGTCTCCTATTGGATACAAATAACGTCATCTGCTTTGAATACTTTGATTAGACTAGAAGAGTAACACGCTAATGTGACAATCAAAATTGTAAAAACAACCTTGTATTTAGCGTAGGTATAATGAAACAATCGATTTCAAGGGCAGCTAAAGCTTCCTCCTCATCCGGAGAAAGAAATACATAGAAAGAAGAAAATAAAGGAGAAGGAGTCACAGAAACACGTGGTCCTTATCAGCACTGCACGTGGTTATAACTAGATTTTTAATCAGAGTTGCACTGGCCGCCTACTTTTACTGAGCCAGGCTATCTGATCGAGCATGAAAAATTAGCGAAGTTAAAATAGGGAGCGAGGGGCAAATGCACCTTACGCTCAAAATCTGAACTTCAAAAAATGGAAAGCAACCACTGAACGTATTTTTGCTGTTAAGCAAAAAATGGCTTCTTTTTACTATTATGTATTCCGCGCGCTTAAAGTTTGTTCCTCTGAATCTTTGCTTACCATTGAACTTAATTATTTGAGAGCAGTTGCGATTGACCGTGGATTTTCTCCCGTGATTATTGATAAAGCCGTTAAAAAATTTTCAGATTCCCATCAAAGAAGACATTCCACTGTTAGAAATAATATTAATGACCTTGTCGTGCTTCCATTTTATCCTTCTGTTAGCTATAAAATTGCACGGATTCTCCAGAAATTCAATTTTCAAGTCGGTTTATCCCCTATTAATAAAATTCACCCTTCGATTCTAAAAGATTGTGTTTCTGTCTTAAATTCTTGGGGAATTTATAGTATATCGTGTCAATGTGGTTTAAGATATATCGGCCAAACGAAAAAAGCGTTGAAGTTTCGTATCAAGGAACATGAATCTTATGTCAGAAAAGGCGAAATTAACAAGTCTTCAATAGCGTATCATAGTTGGACTTTTAACCATAATTTTGATTTTGGATCTGCAAAAATTATCCAAAAGGCTTCTTCATTGGTGAATTGAATTTTCTTGAGGCTTTTCACATTCACAAAGATTTAGCAGGTTTAGTTAATGATTTGAAGTCCAATCCAGTCCTTCCTAATGCCTTTAAAATTCTACTATCTTAATTCAGTTATTTTTGCTGATAGATGGCGTTACCTCCTCGCGTTTAGTACTACCAGAGGGTAAAAATCCGTTCAGTGGTTGCTTTCCATTTTTTGAAGTTCAGATTTTGAGCGTAAGGTGCATTTGCCCCTCGCTCCCTATTTTAACTTCGTTAATTTTTCATGCTCGATTAGATAGCCTGGCTCAGTAAAAGTAGGCGGCCAATGCAACTCTGATTAAAAATCTAGTTATAACCACGTGTAGTGCTGATAAGGACCATGTGTTTCTGTGACTCCTTCTCCTTTATTTTCTTCTTTCTAGGTATTTCTCCTGATGAGGAGGGACCTTTAGCTGCCCTCGAAATCGATTGAGTGTTTCATTATACCTACGCTAAATACAAAGTTGTTTTTACGATTTTGATACTTTGATTAGTTAAGCATCTCAGAGGAACTTAAGTAAAAAATCTTCTTGTCTTGACGAAATGCTGTTAGGAGACTTGTTCTTGTATAAACAGGGCTTTATATTGTTAAATTTTGTTTTTAAAATTCTTTTATTCAAATAAATAAATGTATTGAAATTTCATTAGATATTAGTCAAGCCAAAAAAGAAATTGAAATTGCAAAGGAAGAATGGGATCAAGTTGGATCAACACCTAAAGGTAATGTATAATTTTTGTTATATTTTTGTAAGTTCATGTTGTGTAGTGTTTACTTTATTACAAAACAAGGATTTTAGCGAAGGGAAGAAACCTAATTATATATAATATCTATTTATAACTATGATTATAAATTCACAGATTAATTTATTTACTTGTTTATTTTTAAAATTATTTCTTATAGCAATTTTACCTGTTCATCTTCAGAGTGTACCAGTTTCATGCGATGAAGTGTTGAATTATTTTCGTTCAAAGAACATGAGCCAATATTTGGTAATTTATATATATATATATTTTTTTTTTATTTTATTTCATGAGCCAATATTTATTTGTATTTTTTATATGAAATGCTATTCATTATTATTTGTTGCTGCATGTATTGTATGTGTTTGTATAATATCCCGAAGTGCCACTGAATTAGGGATAGAAATAGATGCAAATTTTGTAGCACTGTACTGCATTTGTGTGAGGGCTTTTTGGTAACTGCATATATAGCTAGTAGTATGATTGTTGTTGATCAGTCGTTTCAATTACCAGTATGTCTAAAACTTCTGATTTAGACAGCTTTGATCTCGGACAGATAGTAGGCGCTCGAAGCATGAGCCATTCAATTTGCAAAATCTTCAAATATAGGATTTTCAAGGTCGACAGTGTTAAGAGTATACTGAGAATACACGGATGGTGGGAAAAATAACTGCTGATCGGGAAAATTGCAAAGGCCAATTAGCCTCGAATGAGTGTGGTGTGAGACGGCTCAACCGTGTTGTACATAGTCAACGAAGCCAAACATAAGCTCATATTACCACCCAGCTGAATCACTAAAGGGATCGTGCAAGGTTGTATAGTCAGTAAAGGGATCGTGCAAGGCTTGCTTCACCGTATGGGCTCCGGGAGCCGTAGACCCATGACAGTATCATTGAACGTATGCCATCGAGCTGCACTTCTTTACTGGGCTAGAGAACACAGATAATAGACTCTAAAGGACTAGCATGGAGTGATGAGTCTCAAATCTGTCTAATTATTACTGACATGAGGCTGAGAATATGGCATCAGCCTCATGAAGCCATGGATCCTGCATGCCAGGTTGGAACTGTTCAAGGCCATGGCAGCTCAATCATGGTGTGAGATTTTTTTTCTCTTGGCAGTGTTTGGGATCTTTGGTACTTGTACCAACCTCCTTCAATATAATTTAGTTCGTAGATTTTCTGGATAGTCATATCCAGCCGTTTATATTGTTCTGTCATTCACACGGAAATGGAGTATCCCAGCAAGATAACTGCACCTCTTGCCGGTTGGCTACCGTAGCTGGATGAACATTCCTCTGACTTCTGTATAGTGAACTGACTATCTAGAAGCCTTGACTGAAATTCTACAGAGCACCTTTCGGATGTTTTGGTGAAAGGCGTAGAACCACATCACACAACACTAGCGACCCTTCCTAAATTATGGACAGCTCTATCCAATGTTTGGTAAGCCATGCCTGTAGAATGCTTTTGCAAACTTATTGAACTAATCCTTGTTGTGTGGCAGATATTATCAAGCCATAGGAGGCCCAACTTGTTATTGACTAGCTTTGATTCACTGCCTATGAAACTGCCAAATCTTTTCAGTTGTAGGACAACGAATTTTGTCAGAATTTTTTAAACCAAAAAAATTTATATCTTAAGATACTTATTTTTTCTATTTAGAACTATTTAGAATAACAAATTTTAAGAGTAAGATGCTGATTTTGTAAACAAGAACACAAAGATATATGAATACATTTCATTTGAAAGTGGTACAGCAGTGCTAGCTAAGAGCAATTTAAATGAGTATTTGTCATTATTCTGGAATCATTGCATGAATTCACATAAATAAGAATCAAATATAGTACAATTACATGGAAAGTTAGCTTGTATATCTTTCTATAAAAATTATACAGTCAAAAGTCGTTAATTCGGACCTCAAAGCTACAAATTTTCTGCGCGACGTGTGCGCAGAAATATATGCGTCAACGTGATGCGTAATATTTCTTACGGTCTTACGCGCATGCATAAACGCATAGCCGTTTACGCATGCACGTAAGACCTTTATGGCTGCGGATATGAGTGCGCGCATGCGCATAATATGTTTACGCATGCACGTTTAATGTATAATGGACGGTATAAGCTTAGCTAAAATTATCTAATTCAGTTAATGTTGCAGATTGCGTTGTTCCTTAATCTTCGAATTGGATCCGGCTTATTTTTTTTTTTTGCAGACTGTTAGAGCAATTTTATAAAAGTAAGCTTGAACTTTCGATTATGTCAAATAGAATTAAAGAGAAAGTATTATCACATGAATCGAGGCAACTTAAACAACTTACATTGAAAGAAATGTTTAAAAAGTAAATAAATAAATATTAAGCTTTTTCTTTTTGTAAATTTTGATACCCTTTAGATCATAATTGTTCTTTATTCCATTAATTACGGTTTCATATTTTTAATTTTATAATTTCTGCATGCCATCTTACCAGATTTAAACTGATGATCTATAATCCAGAATCGCCGAAGTCTCGACGAGTCCAGATTAACGACTTTTGACTGTATAGCATATATCATCCTATAACAGGAAAGACCAGATTGCATATAACTGTAATAAATATTAACTAAATCTTCAAAATGATTGTCAAATATTTTTTTCCTCTTATAAAATTTTAGTTCTGTTTCTATAGAAAAATTATAGATTTATATGTCTTGTCCATTATAGATTTATATTTGTGAATAATTTATATTTCCACCTCAGTTTCTTTTGTGTTCATTAGATGATGAGTGGTTAAAAATATGAAAATTCATCTGAATGGAAAAAATTTATAAATCTGCCACATCTATATTATTGCTGATATTTTTGTCCACATCTACATTATTTTTAATATTTTTGATTGCTTCAACAAAATTACCCAAAGCTCAGTTTTATATGGTAAATTAGTTTGATTTGAAAATTTTCTCATAAAAGTTTTTCTTATCGTAATATCAGGTTGGAACAAAGATAATTTCAGTTTTTTAGTGTGAAATAAAACTCAGTTTTTCTATACAAAAAATTAACTTTAATCTCCTCTGTGTTTGATGATCTTTTGCCATTTTTCTGGTGACTCTTAATTCCGCATAGCGCCACTGCAAGGTTGCCCACCTGCAAAATAGCTGAAGTCATTCCCCTTTTTATTAAATTTTTGTATAGCAGAAGGAAGTTTTGAAGTTAGAGCATTTGTTGAAATTTTTTTAACAATTTGTCGAGGATAATTTATTTTTCTGAATTTCATATTAAAATTTTTTTTAATAATTTCTTTTGCATCTATTTTTTGACAGATTTCATTTTCAATGGCAATCAAAGCTTTACGAGTCTTTCCTGCGATATACTTGACCATAAATATGTCTTGATCAATTTTAATTTTAATTATCTTTCGCTACTAGCAACACTAACAGGAATGCTGAGTAGTATTTTCAGGAGTAGCTGGAGTAGCTGAGTAGATCTTCGGGGAGCACAAATTATTTGACAGAATTATGTTCAGAATATCAAATGTATCATTCATACCGACTGTACAAGTGTACTTTGAAAGCACTTAGTATTAAGAACATTTTCAGGGGAAAGCTTCCGTTACAACCAGATATAAAAAACCATTGTGCACACTTTATCTACAGATGTTTTTGTTATTTTCATGTTAAATTGTTTTTTTTTTCCCACAGTTCTTATTTGCTTTTAATTTTTTTTTTGGCATGTACTAGGATTTCCTTTTTTCTTATGTTTTTAAATTTTATGTAAGTTTTATTTCAAAGTAAATACTTAATAAAGCATCTTATAAAAAGATATCTTATAGGTATTATATTTTATTTTCCAGAAATGCATAAAACCTGTAAAACAAAGAAAGGGTTTAGAAGCTTTAAAACACTGGATTATTGGACCACCAAAGTTACATAGCAGTTTGGTATCTGAGAGAAACTTATTATTTGCTATTGCAATGTGTAAGTTTTCCGTTATATAGTCTGTGTACTGTGGAAGGATGCTTTGAAGTAGAAATGAAAAATTTTCTAACATAATGATTTATTTTTTCAAATTGTTTGGTGCTTTGTGCATCTTTTTATCCATCATCAAATCATAGAATTCAAAACTGAATCATCCCTATGTAGAAAATTAAAACATTTAAGCTAGATGAAAACTGAATTGCAGTATAGTTTTCTAGTACTTTTAAACTTAAATGCAATCTTAAATCCGCTGTATTGAGAATTTTAGTTTTTTACTCTTACTGTTGTTGTGTTACTGCACTATTAATGTGGTGTTGTTGGCATGACCGCCTAAAAGTAACGATACTAAGAATATCAAATACAAATTAATTCCGCGTAAATAGTTAAACTAAAATTTAGTCGTTAGTACATTGCATGATCTTTACTAAATAGAATAAAATGACTTACCCAATAATGCATGCATGAGTCAAATACTCTCTTTTTCCAATCTCACATTTATTTTAGGAAAACTCATTTTCTGGATTAAATAAGGAACATTTATCACACACATATAAAATATCAAAATATCAGAACTTAGATACACAAAACGTGATAAATAAAATGGAATGTTCGTTGAGTGCTGAAACATGACTATTCGTGCAATCCTGTCTCATCGAATATATCAGTGGTCAAAATTTTCTCATATTAATTTTCGTATTATCGCGCAGTCTGGTTACACACTTATAAGCTCTTCTTTTTTCACATTCACATTTTTTTTACACACTATCACGTGGTGACACATCGCTGGTCAAGCACATCTTGAAGTTGAACACCTATTGATATTCTGCTTGAGCATTTTTTTAATGTTATTCACGTCAGCAGGGCTTAGTAGTGAGTCTCAAACCAAGCATTTTCCTCTGGATAGTATATTTCTTAATTCAGCTTCTTTCTATGCAAAATACAACGGCATTCCACGTGCAAAATATGCAGGAACGATGCCGAGAGCTGAGTGTATGAAGCGAAAGCCCACACACGCGTTAACACGACGTCAGACAGAAGAAAAGGCAAGAGGAAGACAAACCAGTCCTTCCAGTTTTTATACCCTTCAACGCACGTGGCAGCGCGCGATAACGATACAAGAATCGATAATGCCACAGCGTTCACTGTGAGAATTCTGTGTTCTCACAACTGTATATCAGGATCAAAGCTATGACTTGTTTTGCTGTTTATTGCATATGAAATTTTAACTCACAGTGCAGTAGATTGATTTCTAGGCACAGGGCAGTGATTGATAGAAAATAATTTTCTATATATTATCATATATAGAAGCTCAAAGCCAAGCCTCTCCAGAATTTTAAAAGCTTGGTGACCATCTTGGATCTAATATCTCGAAATCGATGGATTTTCCCCATCTAAAAAACAAAGCAGTAATTTGACTTCTAAATTTTTATAGTACTGCAGGCCATATTTTAGGCATTAAAACATTACATTCCATGTAAAATTTTTATTGAACATACAAGAAGAGAGTGGCATGAGATTTCATAAAATTGGAAGGCACATTTGCAGTTACTTTTTATCAAAAGCAGGCACAGCAGCAATAAGAGAAAAACATAGTAAATCTGTTATGGGAAATTATTTAAATAATTATTCTGTAGCTGAACTGTAGAACCCAGATTAGAAATTCTGTATAAGAAGCTGTATTCTGTATAATTCTGTACATACAATTTCTGTATAAGTCTTTAATAAATCTAATTTTTGTAGTCTTGGAAGGGAAAAAGATGTACATGAATTTTTCATAGGTATATTCTGCACAGGGGGAAAAAACAAAAACAAAAAAAAGGGCACAGTTCTATATCTCCTGCTCTACTAGGTCGATTGACGAAATTTACATTTTCCATATCTTGGAAGTGCGAGTTACAATATGTATTAGATTTACACTCATGTCCATAAATTAAGGATAATTTGGAGTCACGCTGAAATCGAACTTTAAAATAAATATATCACCTGTAAAATCAGTACACACATCTTCAAGAATCATATGCAAATTTCAGGAACTAACGTGCCCGTTACCACCAAGAAAACATCATTGAACGACGCCGTTACGGTGGTGCAGGAGTGCTCATTTGGGGTGCAATTATTCTGGGTTCCAGAACTGACCTGCATGTTCAAATTGGAACCATTACAAGCCAAATCTATCGGGACGTCATTCTGGAACAACATGTATGTTTGTTTCGGTGCGGCATGGGTGCACAATTTGTGTTTATGGATGACAACACCCGTCCTCACCGTGCAAACATCATAAGTGAATGCCTTCAATCAAAGGATATCACCCGTATGGACTGGCTAGCATTCTCACTGGACTTGAATCCAGTAGAGCATGTGTGGGACATGCTTGGCCAAAGAGTTGCAGCCCGTCAACCTCCTCCTACATGTCTACTGGAACTTTGGAGAGCATTGCTTTTTGAGTGGTGTAATGTTCCCCAAGATCAGATTGATAATTTGATACTCAGCATGCCTAGGCGTTGTACAGACTGTATTGCATCGTCTGGGAGACATACAATGTATTAACAATCATACCAACCATGTAATATTGTTTTTTTGTAAATAGTTTTTTTTTGTAATTGCTCCAGGGAGAAAAAATCGCTAATTTTTTAATAATATCAACATATAGCATCTTTTTTGCTCTTTACCTTTTGTTTAATAAATAAGCTTTAGAAATAAGTCAAATTTGTTTTGCTTCTAACTCTTCCTTTGCCTGATTTTGCATTATCCTTAATTTATGGACATGAGTGTATATATATGGCATTACTCTAACGTAAGTATTCTGACACAAAATTGGACTTTCTCTGAAATGACATACCTATTTTTTTTTTCCCAAATTTTGATTCTACAACACAAATTATGCCTAAATATCAAATGTTGTAAAATTCGTTGGAATTCTGAGAAATTCAAAATTTAATCTGTGCAGAAATTTTTCAGTTTGCACTAAGAATAATTCACTTGGCAAAATTTTTAATTTGTTGGTAAGCTATTTTCCTTTCCATTTCATTGTGCATGAGCAGGTGAAAAGGTCCAATGTTCATTCTATCTAATAATTTTAACAAACTGCATTATTATCACTTATAACAAATATGCCAAATTTCAAAATACAGCAATATGTAAATTCATGTAAATCTTAGAAAAAATTTTTTTAGAAAGCTCTAATTTTTTATAGGTATGCATGGAAATACATCTACTTTAAGATGATAGCAAAAAGTTTTTAAAAAAATTTATAAAAATTACTAAAAAATACAATTTTAAAAAACAATAAAAAAAATTACAATGAATTTTATTTGGATTGAACTTAAATTTTTAAATTGTGAAAGAAGGAATTAAGTATGTTTAATAAAAATAGATATATTAATAAATATATGCCAAATTCAATTAACATTGTTAACACATTGGTATTTAAGTACTAATATATATCCTGAGTTGTGCTTCCAAGCCATAAGAAACAAAGTGAAATTTCATTAGTGGACCCAGTAGAGTTGGAGATATAGAACTGTCTCCCTCTTCCTTTTGTGTGCATGGGAAGGGGGCAGCCTGCACCCACACGTTTGGTAAGTTTTATATACAGTCAAAAGTCGTTAATCCGGACTCGTCGGGAGTTCGGCGATTCCGTATTATCGATTTTTCCGGATTATAGATCATCAGTTTAAATCTCGTAAGATGGCATGCTGAAATGTCTAAAATTAAAAATATGAAGTGAATTATGATAATAAATGAACAATTATGATTAAAGGTATCAAATTTACAAAAAAAAAGCTTAATATTTGTTTACTTTATTAAACATTTCTTTCAAGGTAAGTGTTTAAGTTGCTTCGTTTTATGTGGAAATGTACTTTACTTTAATTCTCAACAGCATAGTCTTGTTCAATTCAAGTTCGTGTTCAAGTCCGAATTGAAGCCCTGGAATTACCGACTAATACCGATAGAAATGGGTCCATAACCGTCTCTGTCCCTTCTTCATGTCTTATCCCTTTTTTCCAGGCAATTCACTTTTGGTTTGATGGACATCAAACTAGACTGTGTTTGTAGATCCATTAGGGGCCAGCATCGTATTTTTTGTCATATCGAAGTGAAGTTTCCTTTTTCTTGCTCTTTCTCTGAAAAAAGTATAGCCGGGTTCGAAAGATTAAGGACAGCAATATCAACATTCTGAATAGATAATTAGATAATTTTAGCTTATACGTCCGTTCCACTTAATTACGCGAAAACGTATTATTCTGCACTTGCGCACACGCACTATGCGCAGTCGTTAAAGGTTAGCGCACGCATACGCCTATGCACATGTGTCAATGCGGCACATGGCAGAAAGTTTTTAGCCTTGCGGGTCAGTATAGGTGTCCGAGTTACGGACTTTGACTGTATACATGTGCAAAAAATTCTTCTTTAATGCCGTTGAAAAATTTTTTGTTTTCATCTCTTGTTCTCTGCGCCCCTGTTTTCCCCTATGATGCTATGCATCGCCCTCTCATATGATCGGAAGTAAAAAGTTTGGCATATAAATCTTTTTGTGTTTAGTTAATCCTTAAAATTTTCAATGTTATCAAGTCTTTGTCCTCCAATCTATATCTTCTACCCTAGAATCCTGTCTTCCCCCCAAATGCTGAAATTGAAGGATTGGAGCATTATGTTGTAAAGGGCATATCTTCCAATCAGTTAGCTCTATCAAAACTGAAAACATAAATTAAAGTATTATGAAAACATAAATTATAAAACTTTAAATTAACTTATTAGCTCCCCTTTTGTGTGTTTTTCACTAATGAGCTTTTTTTAGTCTATTACTTTAGAAGATGAACTTTGAAGTCATTTTTGGCCTTCCTCTTTATTCCATAAGCATAATAGCTGCTGCATAAATTCCGTAAGCATAACAACAGCTGCTTAAATTGCAACAACTTTAATTTTTCTTTTTCCATATCATTTATGTTTAGTATGTTTCACTTCTTAAAAGGTGCATGACTGTGGACTGGCTTAGACTGCAATCTCAAATAAGGTGGAGAATGTAAGTGTTGTGTAGTGATGACAACACTTGTTACGACCATAAATAAGGGAGGGTTGTAAAATCCTTGAAGTGCATATTTTAAAGTTTTTTTTTTAATGACAGGCACAAGTCATCATAGACGTTGGCCACTAATAAGGACAGAAACAGTGGTCACTTTATTATGGAGGCACATAATAAGTAGGCCACATTTGCCTTCTATGAAGGGATGGGCAGTTACAACCATGTCTTCTCCATAATTCGAACCTGGGCCCTTTGGCATCGCACTCGGCTTCCCTAATTACTATACCATCTGCGGATATTTTAAAGTAACAGACCTTAATAAGTCTTCTTGTTTAAGAAATTTTAAACCTTCTGACATTTGATAAACATTTTAACTTGCTCTAATAAACATAGCATTAAAAATATCTTTTCTTAATTTCTCTAATAGTGTAAACATTTATAAAAAAGGTAAAATTTAAAAGACAATTATTTAGGAATGCATGCATTTTTTTAAATATCTTTAACTTATTACACTGGCTAGCATTAAAGATAAAGACATTATGACACGTGGAAGGCAAATAATTCTCAGCATAGGCAAGTTCCCAAACTATCTGTTATTTCTGTATGTAACAATTAAAGGAAATTTTGATACAGTAAAGATTTTCTGGTGTGCGTTATTTAACCTAATAAGTTAACAACCTATATAAGTTCATTCATATTATTAGTTATTTAACTTTGAATTTCCACCATTTTTCTTTATAAAGTTTGGGAATATTAGGCATGATAAATGTTTTCATTTATTTATTTTGTGTGTATGTGTGATTTAATTTAATTTATTTAGTTTAGTGCAGTAAATACTTTCAAGAAGTTATTGTAATCAGTATAAGTACTACATTTGCAATTACCTTTACTGACAAAAAACGTTTTGAATATAAAAACTAAAGGCAGAAAAAATGGCTTTGTGATATCTTAATGAATGTTGAATTTTTTTTTAAATTCATTATTCTTCTTATATTTGATTTATTTTGCAGTAAATACTACTGTAAATATAAGGAATTCTGTTTAATTATTTAAATATTCATTTTTGATTAAATCAAAGTGAATTATAATATATATATAAAATTAAAAGTTTGTCAAGAATTCTTGTGAAATAAAGTAAAACTTTTCTGAGAAAAGAAAGAGTTTTTAAATGCTGTGTTAAAAAAATTCCATGGAATATAAATGCTTGACTTGACAATGTATCATATAAAAATAGTGGAAAATGGTATTGAGATAATAAGCTCTGAAATGATGAAAGGATGTTTTGGATTATAAACATTCAGTTTAGTTTCCTTATTGTTATTATGTTGTATAGTCTATAGTTATAATTTTATTAATGTACAAATCTGATTTTTAATTGTCTTTGTTATGATCACTTTCATATGTTAGGTCCTTTTGATACAAGTGATGAGATTCATATGAGAGTTCTGCAAACTTTGTACAAATCTTTGACTGGAGCTGAGAAAGATTGTCCTCGTTATGGGAAACATTGGGAAGATGTTGGTTTCCAAGGTATGCTATGATAGATGATTGCTAAAAAGTCTTAACATTTTGTCGGAGTTGTTGAGTTTATTTTTTACGAATAATAAATATATTAGCACATTGAAATATTAAATATTTTAAACTTTGTTATAGTGGAGAATGCATTAGTTGTTAAATTTTTTAAAGGATGGTACATAGCAAATAGTAAAGTAGGACACAAGTAATGCATTATATGTGCCTTTTTTTTATAAATTTTAACTTCTTGTTTTGTAAATGAAAACATAGATTTTTAATAATTGAAAATTCAAAATATATTAAAATCTTTTTTTTTAGAGGAGGTATTTCTATAGTAACACTAAAGAGTGATGTTTCTGGTCACAGTTTTAAATAGCATAAGCCAGTGGTCTCCAACTCACCGCCGCATGTGGCCCTGAGGCAATTTTATTCAGCCCACAAATACATTTCAATTATGTATTTGTTGCAAATATGATGTTGTAAAGATTTCAGTAATTTGAAGCTCAGCTTTACATTAATTTCATTGCCATTAAAAACAAGGTTGAATAACCCACCAGAAAATCTATAAACTGAGCTGATTAACTTACAGTGTGATATAAGTGTTACTCAAAGATTTGAAAATACAGTCAAAAGTCATTAATTCGCACACCCATAATCGGGACCTCAAAGCTGCAAACTTTCTGCTCATGCGTCGCATTGACGAATGCGTGTAAGACCTTTATGGCTGCAAATATGTGTGTCCGCGTGCGCAAAATACGTTTATGAATGCGCGTTTAATGTATAACGGATGGTATAACATAAGATAAAATTATCTAATTCAGTTAATGTTGCAGATAGCGTTGTTCCGTAATCTTCGAATTGGATTCGGCTTATTATTTTTTGCAGACTGTTAGAGCAATTTTATAAAAGTAAGCTTGAACTTTCGATTATGTCAAATAGAATTTCTGATAGGTATATTTACTAATATGTAAAGGATCTACAAAGCGAAAGTATGTTTTGAAGTCCATTAAACAAAAACTGGAATTGCTGCAAAAAATTTTGATAAAGGCATATCCTTTGTTTATCTAAATTTTAACATTTGTTTATTTTTAACACCGCGGCGCGCAATGAATTGGAAGTTGATCTGTCAGCACTATCCTTATCTTCAGAGGAGGTGTTTTTATTTTATTTGGCTTATGAATAATAAGCATATTATTCATAAGCCAAATAAAATAAAAACAGCTTATATATTAATAATTCCTTACTAAATATAGTATTTCATCTCAATGTACTCCGTCTTTGATATGATTTAAATCAAATTCCTCGTCATTATAATTCACTTAGGTGTTTTTATTTTATTTGGCTTATAATTCCTTACTAAATGTAGTATTTCATCTCGATGTACTCCGTCTTTGATATGATTTAAATCAAATTCCTCGTCATTATAATTCACTTTCGATAGCGAACAAAGTGACGAAATTGAAAAACTGAGCTTATTGAAAACGAAAAAATTTCGATTGACAAATTAGTCGGTATTCTCAACACAGCAATTATAGAATTGAACAGCAGAACATTGTAGCTGAACAAGAAATTATGTCTGTTTGTAGAATTAAAGAGAATGTATTATCACATAAAAAATGAAGCAACTTAAACAACTTACATTGAAAGAAATGTTTAATAAAGTAAACAAATAATATTAAGCTCTTTTTTTTTTTTTTTTTTTTTTTTTTTTTTTTTTTATAAATTTTGATACCCTTTAAGTCATAATTGTTTTTTTCATAAATTATGGTTTCCATATTTTAATTTTTATAATTTCTGCATGCCATCTTACCAGATTTAAACTGATGATCTATAATCCGGAATCGCCAAAGTCCCGACGAGTCCGGATTAACGACTTTTGACTGTATAGATTTTATTAACTGTTATTCATACTCCTCAAAAAGTATAGAAGCTGAGTTATGAATTTTTGCACAGAGAATAAGTGCTTTGTTTTTGGAATACATTTATACCTGAACAGCTTTTTTTCACGGTTGAAATTTAATAAGAAAAGAACCCAATCCACCACTGAGCATCTGCAATCCATGATGAAGATAATTTCTAGTAATTTCTTCACACGGTTACAAACTTTATCAAAATCGAAATGTTATCAAGTGTCAAATTGTAGCATAAAATTAAAGAAGTTTATAATTATTTACATACAAATGTAAGTACTTTTATTTTTGCATTGGAAGAAAAAAAGAGAAACTAATTAGGTTGTTGTTATTTATTCTCAAGGTTTGTCACACTTGCAAAATTTTCTCTGAGAACTATGGAACATTCATAATTTGTTTATTTTTAGTTTAAAATAAAGTAAGTTCTAATGGTTAATTTAACATGTTAGAATTATCTTAATTAAATGTAATTCTGAAAATTTAAGTAAAGATAACTGGCAAAAATGTCTTGCATCTACAAAACTTTAGATTTCCGATAGAAAGTAAATATGAATTTGAATTTTTTCCTTTGCAATATTACTATTATTAATGTTTACATATGTTTTGATAAATATTTATTTCATAAGAAAAATTTATTTAAAAGAATTTTTTATCTTGTTAATAAAATTTTTTAATTTTGTTTAAAAAATCTGGCCCATCAGCTGTTTTCAGATTGTGCATTTGCCCCACATGCAATTTGAATTTGAGACCACTGGTGTAAACTACATTTCTAGGTAACAGTACTAAGAATGACGATTAACCTTTTTCTGTACATTGCATAATTTTCAGATTTATTGGAGTTTTCAAATTCTTTCTGTTTTGTCATACATGTACTGCACAGACAAATAATGTAATTATATTTTTTAGGTATTGATCCTGGAACTGATCTGAGAGGGGTTGGTTTTCTGGGACTTATTCATTTACTTTCAATGATTCTGAACCCAGCTACTGCTGAACTTGCTAAAGAAATTTCTACTGTATCAAAAACTGAGAAACAGGTTTTTTTTTTTTTTTTTTTTTTATATATATATATATATATATATATATATATATATCCATTTTGCTTTGTGATTTTGAATAAAAAGTATTTAGGTATTAAGAACTCCAGTTATTTGAACTACTTAGGATGACAACTTGGATAGTTGTGAAATCTGGATAACTGAGTGATCATTTTTCTGTAAGTCAGCTATATGTATTTACTGTATCACAAATGAGGGAATTTTATTTTTTCATTTATTGCATTTTATTTCATTAAAAATTTTAGAAATGAAAAAAGTAAAATATTTTTATTTCCATAAAAAAAAGGCTGATTTAAAACAAAATGCATAACATCTTTCTATTCAATTAAATTTAAACCAGGATTTTTTAAAATTGATATAAAATAACCAAATAAATAAATGCAAACTGTTGTAAACAATAAAACATTTTGTATTACATTTATGTAAAATAAAAAATATTAAAAATGCATAGATAAGTTTAAAAATTTAATTTAATTAAAAGCTGAATTTAACTTGGTTAGAGAGAACAAGTAATCCAGATACTAATTGCAGTTCTAAAATTTTAGTATTTTAGTTAGTAATTAGTAATTATTTTTGTTAGTAATTAGTAAATTTAGTATTATTTAGTTCTAAAAAATTTAGTATTTCTTCATCTTTATTTTCCATTGCTGAGGACTTTAATTTTATAAGCTATTCTTAAATTAAATAATGCTGTTAACATTTTAAGTATTTATATTTTGTATATCATGCATTTTTCAAAATATTTTTGTAATTCTTTTTCAAATTTTAAACAGTAATATTTTGTTTTTATAGAATTTTCCCTTTTGCACCATGGGAATCAATATAACAAGAATAGTTCTAGAAACAATGCGAGAGGAAGTTCTTAACAGGTAATACTTTATAATTTAAGATTGAATACTTCAGAGTTCTGTGTACTATTTATTTAACCTTTTCCTTTTTAGCCTTTAATCACTTTCATAGTTTTAGAATGAAATTTTATCTTTTGTCATTAAGAAATTTAATTAAAAAATGGTCAATTAGTGAATTGCATCATTCCAAAAAATATATATTTTTAATGTATTTATGAAAACACTTTTAAAGTTAGATTTTTTTAATAGATTTTATCTCTATAAAATTGTGAAATGCTTTAAAATATTTCTAAATAAAATTTTATGAAAACAGGACATTTGATAGATTGTGCTGTTATAACAGTGTGAAACTTAGTGATAGAGAAAATGAGAATAGAATTAGTTAATGCTCAATGATTTAGGTATTTTGATTGTTATATTTACAAATAAGAGTTTGTTTTAACTGTGTGTTTGAATCATGAACTAAAATGATAATTTTCATTTGCTTCTGTAGTAAGAGAATAAAAGAAATATATCAGTCTTTTTGTATACCTGTCCAATTTAACAAAATTCAGTAAATAGTAATTTGTCTAAGAATGTCATCTGCAAAAAATATTCTTTTTGTAAGCTTAGTTATCCGAGTGTGCAATTTGTCTGGGAAGTTAGTATAACCCTGTCATACATCCTTATAATTTAATGTAATGACTTCATCTAGGTAGTTGCTAAAATGAGAATAGAATTAGTTAATGCTCAATGATTTAGGTATTTCGATTGTTATATTTACAAATAAGAGTTTGTTTTAACTGTGTGTTTGAATCATGAATTAAAATGATAATTTTCATTTGCTTCTGTAGTAAGAGAATAAAAGAAATATATCAGTCTTTCTGTATACCTGTCCAATTTAACAAAATTCAGTAAATAGTAATTTGTCTAAGAATGTCATCTACAAAAAATATTCTTTTTGTAAACTTAGTTATCTGAGTGTGCAATTTGTCTGGGAAGTTAGTATAACCCTGCCATACATCCTTATAATTTAATGCAATGGCTTCATCTAGGTAGTTGCTGGAAAGATCTATGTGCATATGCTCTGTGTGTGCAATATTGTAAATATATATATGTTCCTTTGTACATAAACTTTGAGGCAGGTATACTTATACATCTGTGGTATACTTTTTAGATGAGAACCCTTGTGTTATAATCTCTTGCATGTTTTTCCCTCTCCAATAGCCTGGCAGCTTCCATCTGTACTCATAAAGCTAGCCAACATCTGTGGATATGATGTAGTATTCAGAGATATCAGTAAAATAAAATTTGGACAAACAAATTGGATATTGTACCTGTCCACATCATTTCGTGCAGTGAAATGTAGTTCTTCGACTGTGACTTGGACAACAAAATTATTGATGCATGCTTCTCTTCAAATTGGAGGGAGGAAAAGTCTGCATTGTTTTCATTGAAGAATGAACTTTGAAAATTAGAGATTTTCCACTGTAAGGGTTGTTGTTTTGACTTTAGTATCATTTGTGGATCTTTAATTCACAAAAGAAGTAAAGTGTTCACAATGAAGATCCAAGAGAATATTCAGGTCAAATGCAAAGGGTACTAGATGCAGTCCAATTAAAAGTAGAATACCAGGAAAAATATTAATGATAATTCAAGTTTTGGGATCGGTATGTAACTCAGAAAAGGATATATTGACTACATTTTATCATGCTTCATTTTCAAAATTTTGTTGGTGTTGTGTGATTTCTTTGAACCAACTTAGTAAAATATCATTTACAGATACAGGTAGCTTAAAAGTTCATGAACTCTAATAAAAAAAATTGCATTGTTGTATTATTGTTGATTTTATTCTGTTTTAGATAAACATTATTAACATGTTATAAAATTATTAACATTTCTGAATTATACTGAGAGTGAACAAAAAGTAGTCTTTTATCCAAGATGTTAGCCACTTTCTTGAAAGTACTGAGTGGGTTATCATGCATGGCTGTTATGCTGCTTCCCAAGATTTTTACCAGTACACTTTGTTCTTCTGTTAGCCCAAAAAATAAAATTTAATAAGCTCAAGTGAAACACCCCAAGTGTGACGAAATGATTCAATTTTTTTAAGAACTCCATGAGCGTCTCTTGTTTAGATTAATGTGAACCAAGTAGCACCATTTTCTGAAACTAGCAATAACTATCTTCTTTGAACATTGCCATAAACTACTGGGTGATAACTGCATGCACTTATGTAATGATGCACTTATGTAAGATGTAATACGTTTTCCCTTCAGCATTTTAGCACAAGCTTCTGAAAGTTCTTAAGTATTCACATAATTGTCATCTTCTTCAAGGCATTCAGAAAGTGAACTTCCCTAAATTTTAAAATGAATTCATCCTCATAGTGGCATTTTTCATCTTACTAATTGATTTGCTTTTGGATTTTGAGTACATGGGCTCTGATTGATGAAGTAACCATAGTGAAGAGCTTAAAAAAAAAAACTGGGATATCTAATGCTGTAATCATTGCACGCGTGAAATTAGACTGAACGCTGATGAAAATGATGGGGACAAGTCGTAAACCACAATAGATGACATAGGCAACAGTTCCAGCAGGATTTAATGATTTGAGGCCCAGGGAGTAGCAGTGAATAACAATAACAATAAAGCGGGTGATGACTTTATCCATGAATACTTTTCATTTGTTATGGTCTTACTGTAACTTCCTCCTTCAGAAATTAAATTATTCATGCAAATTTCCCTCCTCGATTTTTGGACTTTAAAGTTAGTAAAAACATTAGTTTTTATGTCTATTAATATAGGAGTAAAAGCAACAAAAGATTTTATTTTGTTTAGCAGAGGATTTAATTTTGCTCCTTTTTTTAATAAAGTTTAATTTTAGTGATAATTAATTATTGATCAGAAGCATTCTATATATCAGTTCTGAAATTATACTTTTTTAGTTCTTTGTATGAAGTAAAGGAAACACAATAATCGCAAAAAATTTTGGGTGTCATATTTCAATGAGAATAGTCATTTTGACTTCTCTCAAATCCATTTGACCATGTTTTCGTGCGACATCTGTACGTACGTACAGACAGAATTAAAGGATTATTTTTTACAAAACAGATTGTAAAATGAATTTAAAACTGCATAATAAAAATATGCAACTTTTTCTCAATATCAATAAAAGAATTAACATAGCAATAACATACCATGTCAGTTATCCTAATCTGAAAAAAAATTTGGTAACAGCAGCTATTTATTTAAAATTCTGACATTAATGAACAATTTTTGACATAACAATGACGTCACATCAAATTGCATACTTTCTTCAGCATCAGAATATGACTTCATATAATAATATATTTAATATTTTGCAATGTTATTTTAATTTCATATTTTGTAAAACTTACAATTTTTAGTAGCAAACTCTACAATTTGAAAATGAGCAATGGCAGCATTTTTCAAAATAAAGCAGATTTTTATCTCCATCATGCGAGACTGTTGCCGTTCAGAAAAATGAGGGTGAAAATTAGCGTTTTGAGAGTTTCTAATTAATATCTTGGCTGATTAAAGTAGTACGAAGATGAGAAGCAAAAACTGCTTCTTACAAATTTTTGGAATATGGGGGTACCTCTCTCGGAACTCAATGATGATGCTGACAAACAGATAGATGTGCACAGATTTTAATAGTATAGAATGTCACTTTGTTACCCAGCTCGGTGAACTCTGTTTTTTTTATTCTTATATGTTGGTAAATTATGCATTTTTTGTTTTAAAAGTTATTGAATTATGTTGTTCTTACGTTCCAGTTAAGGATTTTATGACTTAAGTTAATCTGCGTGCAGTATTTATAAATTTCTTTACAATATAAAAATTTAAGTGCTGCTAGCCTAACAAAGCCACCATTTGTTTAAATTTTAAGCTCTTAGTAGAATAGTGAATTAAGTCACCAACTTCAGTGTTTTTTGGCCCAGTGGGGCTAAATGTTTACTTTCAGTTTTGTTCACCAAAAATTTTATCTTCTTGCTCATTAGCCAAATTGCTTGTTTTTGTATAGAAACTCTTAAATTTAATAAATCCTGCCCTAAAAATTTGGTGTTTCAGTTTCAGTTTTTTCTGTATTTTGCAATTTAATGAAGATGTTTTGAGTTTTTATGTAGTTTTGCTTTGCAGTGAAGTAAGAAATGTATTTATTGATGCCTGTTCCTAAAGTTCTAAAAATATTTTGAATTATTTATATTGAAGGCCTACAATTTACTGTATTATTTATTCTTTCTTATATATCATTTTACTTCAACTTTGTTCTAGGATTTTATTTTGATTTGTGGTAGGTTGGTTATTAAATGAAATTTCATTTAAATGAATCAGTAAAAATCAGTTGAAGAAAATGATAAGCTAAGTTTTAAAATTGATATTCTAATCATAATTATTTAGTTATTTTAATGTAATGTAAAATTAAACTGAAGACATGTACATACGTGCTTTGTTGGGAAAATTTTCTAGAGTAAAACTAATTTGTTTTCTAGTGCAATAAATGTACAGTAAAGCAAGCTTGTTAACTTGAATTGCTAGTTTTACTTTATTAGGTTGTCCCAAAATTTTATTTCATTTTATTTGTAAGTAAAACATCCATAGTATTGTATGTTTTAATGAAACAGTATCTCTAATGAAATTTAAGGGAATAAAGTTTAAATGAAATGCAGCGCAAAATGTGTATAATTTAATAACATCAGATATTTTTTATTTGTCCTCAGATCAGAATTTGTATCAGATATTTTTTATTTGTTGTAAACTTTTTCCTGAGCAGGGAATGCAATAGGAAAATGGATGTTTTTCAAGTTACCAATGATTTTTATGCTGGTGTATTCCTTCATTTGCATTTTATTTGGTGTGAACAGAATAAGACAATCATGGACTCAGGATATGTAATAAAAGGTAAAATTTATTTATTTATGTGAATTAATTTTTTTTATCGTCGTAAAAAATTATCATTTTTGACACATTCAGATTTCCAGAAGATTTGCTTTAAGTTATTTTAAATATACTCAATATTTAAAATATAGTTTAACTATTTAAATTATTCTTTTAAAAATTATTTTGTATGCATGCAATTTTTCTTTAAATTGAATGTTTAATGTGAAATCTATTTTTGAACATTAAAAATAGTTTCCACATTAATGATTCTTCTTTATTTAAAAAAGTAATAATAATTCTTTCAAAGCCAAAACAATATAGTTTTCATATTAGTTGAATTTATTAATTTGAAATACTTAAAATTAATTAGAACTTCTAAAAGCATAAAGCATAGTTTCTTCTTCATTTATTTAAAAATGCTACTGAATTTTTTCCATTTTTCCCTAGATTTAAATACTTTCGCAAAGAAACACTCAGCTGTGATATTTAGGGAATTATTCAGTTACATTAAAGAGAAAAAAATTCCTGCCAAAAAGTCTGCTGCAGTTGTAGACTTTTCTAATATCGGTGATATCACAGGTTTTGTAAAAACTTGATCATGATTTTCTATCATTTTTGCTTCATTTGTAATCTAAAAAAAAAGATATTTTTGCACTTTCCTATTGAAGGCCAAATGAAGTTATAAATGATACAGAAATCTGCTGTGGTTTAGTGGTTGTGTGAACTAAGATGCATTAAATAAAAAATTTCATTTGATATGAAACACAGTAATGGGGACATGAAGCATCCATTTGTAACCATAAATAACAGAAAATAAATTGCATTTGATGCCTGTTCCTAAAATTCTAAAAATATTTTGAATTATTTATATTGAAGGCCTACAATTTGCTGTATTATTTATTCTTTCTTATATATCATTTTACTTCAACTTTGTCCTAGGATTTTATTTTGATTTATGGTAGGTTGGTTATTAAATGAAATTTCATTTAAATGAATCAGTAAAAATCAGTTGAAGAAAATGATAAGCTAAGTTTTAAAATTGATATTCTAATCATAATTATTTAGTTATTTTAATGTAATGTAAAATTAAACTGAAGACATGTACATACGTGCTTTGTTGGGAAAATTTTCTAGAGTAAAACTAATTTGTTTTCTAGTGCAATAAATGTACAGTAAAGCAAGCTTGTTGACTTGAATTGCTAGTTTTACTTTATTAGGTTGTCCCAAAATTTTATTTCATTTTATTTGTAAGTAAAACATCCATAGTATTGTATGTTTTAATGAAACAGTTATATGCAATAGGTTTTGCTCTGTTATATTCTTTCATCTTTCCAGAAGCTGCCAGGAATGCTATCTTTCCAAAATTTTGTCATTTGCTTGCAATTCCAAATATACTTTTATGTCATTGACATATACTTTTTATTGCAAAGATAATTATATATTCTAAATAATTTTCTTCAGTAAATATTCCCTTCATATAAATAATATTATTTTTAATGCACCATTTCAATTACATTTTATGTCATTTACTGATCTAACATTTTATTGCAAATTGAATTATATAATGAAAGAAACAGATATTAGTTACATGGGGCAATATTCCAAGAATATGGAGTTCGAGATAGAACTTGTCAAATGTTAACAATTTGTTTCTAATGGCTAATGACATATGGAGCCTGATATTGTGGCACTTCATCTGTGCATTATTGCCATCATTTTTAACTGATTGTTTCTTTTAGTTTTCTGGGTTGGAAACAGCATTTCACTGAATTTGTTCATCTCATGGAAGCATTTTATCATGTATGATGCCTTTCTGATCCTTCCAAGTTTACAAGAAAATTTTGTGTGAAGTTTGATGCTTCCAAAGTTTGATGTTTCCAAAGACTTATCATATCTGTATCCAAAGTGTTTATGGTTAAAATTTTTATAGTGGGTTCTAGTTTTATCTCCAATTACTGATCTCTTCAAGAATTACTCTTGTCTGAATTTGCTGAAAAATCAACTACTCATATGGGGAAATATAAAGAGTTTATTCTCTGCAGTATGATGGAGAATTTATATTTCTGAGTGATTGATACAGCTGAGCCTTTTTCATTTGATTGTGTATTGATGTCACATAATATTTCATGCATCATCTGATTCATGAAAATACCTGTATTTGTAGTCAATGAGTAGCCACTGAAGTCTTTATCCTCCAGGTTAAAATTCCTAGCTTGAGATTTCTTAAAACAAGTAGGAATTATTTGAATACTTATAGCATCACTTTCATAAACTATGCAAATTTTATTTTCAGTATTTTTTCACTGTATCATTCACCATTTTTACAGTATGTACTTTGTTATATGTTTTGATTTCTCATGATTCTAGCCTCATTATTTATGTATTCTTTTAGCTGTGAATGCTTAAAAGCTTCATGTCTCAAACTACATTAAATTACTCAGGGTTATAAAAATAAATAGATAGGAAAACATGACACTGTGAATACCTTGCAGACTTTCTGTATGTTTTTGATTTATTGCCATTTAATCAAAGCCTGAGCAGTACATTCATTTCAAAATGAATCTGCTCATCTTGTGGTTGATAAACAGTGCAAATTCATAATAAGTTGATATAAACTCCGTCCATGCATTACTTATCAAGGAAAAATCATGCAAAAATATTATTTTTTTAGATATATAATTATATTTTCTAGAAATTCATCATTCTTTGTTAACTTAATTACAAGTCACATGGTGCATAAAATAAACATAAATGTTTGAAACTACTATTTAGACAATATTTTTGTGAATTATAATTGTGCACTAAATTAAAAAAAAATGTAATATGCTTTATTGTACAGTTTATTTAACATTTAAAATTTGTTTAATTAAAATGAAAGCTTTTAAAATTTTTTTAACAATAATTCTTATTTTTAGTAAAAATAATAAAAAATAACCAAACCTGCAAAAATATATATTGTCTATGAAGGATATATAAAATAGGTTTAGTAATCTTAACTATTAATAATTTATATTGCTGTATGAATATGTTAGTGCTTATGGAAAATATTTGAGTGGAATGTAATATAAGTAAAAATTTGAAAATTGGCACATTTATATACTTTTTATATGAAATAAATTTGCTGCCCATGTGCTTATGAAATTTTATATTTAAATAAATGCTTTACGTTTTGATCTGTTGATATTTATTATGTAGAATTTTTTGTAAAATGTGACTGAAATAAACAGTAGCAGATAATGTGTTTAGAAAGTTCCTATTTTATACTTTAATATAACCTTTGATCAATTGAATTATAATTAATCAAGACTATTTCTGAATGGTTGGTATATTGTTATAAATTATGTGTTTAGTTACAGGTAATTAATAACATATTTTATTTTTTTGTATTTATTAAATGATACAAAATCAGTCATTATATGTTGGCCATGTTTTATATTCTTATTTTCAAATTAATTTTTTTAGTCTTTTTATGTGAATTTATGTGTATTTTCACATTTTATGATTGCTCAATTTTTTAAAAGTATATTTTTGTGTCATTTGCTCATATAAAAGTTGCTCTACCTCTATGTAGGGAAATGTTTAGCGTAATAGCAATGCCTTTTTACAGCAGTTTTCAAAATTCATATGTGCAATACTAGTTATTTCATATTAGCATATTATTATTTGTGCTTAGTATTTTAATCTCCTATATAAGCATCACTCTGAAATTTTGATATACACATAGACTTTTAATGTTTTAAACTTATGAAATTTTAAAACTGTTTAAAGTAGTCTCTTCCAGCATCAATGCATTCCAACAATGAATGCTGACTTCTACTACTTATGTTGATAAAGTGAAGAACTGGCATTTAAACAACTATCACTGATCAATTTCCAAAGCGTTATCTAACATCATGATGGCATCAGATATTATGCTGTTTTAAGTACTTGACAAAATTTACTGGTACTTGAATTGGGAAGTATTAACCTACGAGTATATGCTAGGCAAATTTTTCAAAGATTAAATGCCTCAGATCATTCGTTTCGTGAAATCAATGAAAAAAATGCATTTTTAGCCTCAGCAATTTCATCTTCAGAATTCACATAAGCTCATTTTTGCATTAAAAAATAGCCAAAAGTCGCACATAGCTAGCTTGGGTGAATAGGGTGGATGTTCTATCACTGGTGATCTTGCTAAATGAGAAGATGCATTGTCATAGCGGAGCATGATTCCTTTAACATTCACTACTTGAAGAATTCCTGGAAGATACTTAGTGGTGTACCAGTTAGCTGTGACTGTCTTCTGTCCTTTCAGCTTGATGGCTTTGACCAGTCCTGTATTTCTGAAAAAATGGCATACATTTCTTTTTCCATGGCACATTGTCTTTTCACCAACCACTATGGCCATGGGATCATCTTCTAAGACCCATACTTTATTTTCTTGATATATTGGAACATCAAAAAATGACATCATCACCAGTTACGATTTTTGAAATAATACGGTGGCCACCATCTTTAAGTAATTTAAGGGTTTCTTTACTGATTCTAATATGGTTCTCTTTTTGTTGCTCAGTTAAATTATGGGAAACCTGAGGCAAACTAGTTTTTTCATATGCAGTTCTTCATGAATAATTTTATGTATGGTGGTGTATCCCATGTTAAGTTCCTTCTGATTTAGTATGTGCCTTGATTAAAGTTTTTCCATATAGCAGACACATTATCTGGGATTACTGCTGACAACAGCATTCCTGTGTGTTCTTCATCCTAAAGACAGTTACAACCTTTGAGAAATTCAATAAAATATCTGAATGCAGTAGCATGAGATAGACCTTCATTCCAAAATGTTAATTTAATTGTAGATGTTGAACACATTCTTCTTGATTTCATCCCACATTAAAATCATAGAAAATCGCAGCATGATGATGTTCTCGCATCAACTCCATTTTTCCTTCTGCCTAAAATTTATTCTTTGCTGAGCTCCTTGCAACTGGATGATAAAAAATCATTTGCTAGGCTAAAATAGTTCATATTTTCAAATATAACCATTAACTTTTTTCTTCCATTTATTGTCAGTGTGTCTCTCAAAAATTTTAAAGTAACCTACTTATCTATAAATATAACCTCTATTTTTAACTTCTTACATTTATATCTATAAACATTATTATTCAATTATATGCAAATGCTTTTTCTTGGCATTTTCGCTTTCATCTGTGTTGCAATGGATTATACCTTAATGTACAAATGATACTTATCATATCCACATTATGTTTTTAATATGCATTGAAACTTATTTTTTTTCAGTTTTAAATGCAAATGAAGTTAAGTAGCCTACATACAAGATATATCATCTTGTGTAGAATATTTTTTTCCCTGCTTTCTTTCTCTCCCCCCCCCCATTTCATTAAAATTTTTAACTAAAAGGGTTATGAATTAATTTAGTATAACTTTTCTGACTGAAATGAAACGTTACTGTGTGTGTAAAATAATATATTTACTTTATCAACTACTGCTAACATATTAATATATATTTATATTAACTATACTACTTATAACTAGATTTTAGTGTGATAAAATATTAACTTTTTGAACAATTTTTGTACGATTTAGTTTTTAATTTCATATTCTTTATTTTTTAAATACCTTTTGAAGTTTTTTCTAATTATCTGAGTGACATACTTTTTAGATCTGCTCATGAAAAGCTGTTCATATACAGAATTATTCATTTACATTTTTAGGTTTGTATTATTTATTTTACTCTTTATTTTCATAACCTTCCATTCAATAAGATGGTGTGATTTAGATCATTAAAGAAAATAAGAAGATGAAAAATTTTAACTAACAAGGTAATATATACTATGTGACAAAAGCATATCATGAATGGGTAATAGTTGACCATTTAAAAAGAAAACATGTTTTCAGCTTGATATAATTTGGTGAGTGTGTTAGGCATTATTTTCTTTTGTGCATTAAAAACTATTTTCTGTAGTTTTCATTTTTAGCTCCGCATATGTATTTTTAACAGTTTACTTATCTAATAAAAGTTCCTAATACTTTGCATTTTGAAATATTTAGAACAAGAATTTTATACAAATGTTATACCTGATCTTTCTTTCTCCCCAGATGTTTCTTTATTCTTCTGCCATGTAATTTAGAATAACTATTTGCATAGGATTTTTCATAAAATACTGGCATGCATATAGCAGTGAAAATTTATTAACTTTCATGTAAACTAATTTGAATTTGTACAAAAATTAAATTATGGACAGACATGTAACGAACATGCAAATAAGGATTTGGTGTTAGTAGATATTATTACATATTTTAACATCATGCATTCTGTCTTTATCAGTTAAGTGACAAAAGGTGTAATTTGTGTATTTATTAAATTATGTGAAATTTCTTGATTGAAAGTTATTGTTTTGCAAAGCTGAAGAAACATAACCTTTACATGTTACTAAGGATGGCTTCTCATATGTTATACATTTTTTAAAAACACTATTCTCATTTCTGATTGAAAAAAATATTTTCTTGAAGTTACCTTATAAAAAGGTAACATATTGAATGAAATCAGGTATCAGAATTTTATATATTTTAAAACTTTTCACATTAAAAATTTCCATATTAAAAATAAATAGATATTTATTAAATGTTGGTTGTGTAAGCGTTTGACATGCTGATGATAAAGCTTGTATTTAGCTAAGTATCGAATATGAATATTAGATCAGAATTATATTCTATGATATCAATTCTATTAAGCAACATAATGGCTACTTTTGTATGAATTAACATAAAAAATTAATTCCTCATAGCCAAAAAATTTATTTCAGCAACCGAATCTAATTTAGCAAATGTGAAAAAAAATTCCTTCAAATTTCATTCTTTGATATTTGGATTGTTAATTCAAAATTTCTATTATCATAAAGATTACTCTGACATTAGGCTGCCTTTCTAAATTTGAACCAATGAAAGAAAAGAAATTTTAAAAGCTTGTGCAATTCTTTACAATTATACTGCAGTTCAAATAACAAATTCAGTGTATTTTCACTGAAATAACTCAAAACATTCCATTTATGTTATTACTGTGCATGAATTTTTTTTTTCCATGTTTAGTGTTTAATAGTTTGGAATATTTATATTCTATCTGAAAGTTTGTGTGTAAGCCATAAAAATTTCATTTGAATATGTATTTATGTAAAACAATCTGTACATGTTTCTAAAAACAGAATAATGCATTTTATGTTCTTTGCCAAATGTAATGTGATCAAGAAATACTGTTTTATATTTCACATGGATGTATGTAATTGTGCAAATTTTTTCAATTTCTTAAGTTATATAATGCAATAATAAAGTAATAGAAAAGAAAATATTTGTTTATTCCAATTTTCATAATTTTATATATTTTATTTTCTTTCACATATATTCCTACTGTAAAAATTAAAATGTATATTTGCATGTATCAGATACTTCAAAATAATTTTTCCCCAATTCGTTTAATATTTGTTAAAAAAATTTTTTTATCTGTAATATACTAAATAATTGTTTTAGTCTTTCTCCCTCCCCCTTCCCCCCCCAAAAAAAAACCTTCCTTCACACATTCCAAGCATTTATTCTGGTAACAATATAGGAAGTAAAACTTTTGTATTGGGGGAAAAAGTATATTTCAAGTGATAAGTTTCCTGTCTTCAAAAGTAAATTATTATCTGCAGGTGCTTTACATCTGAACTGTATTAACTGAGGAATCCTTTTTAATTTTAGCTGGACAAACTAATATTTTATGTTTAACTATATTTCTCTTTGAAACTTTTTCATAATTAGTTTGAGAGACTAAAACCTTCTCTTTAGGCACCTAACCAATTAAATTCATCTTATAAAAAACTCTATTTGAGGAATTAAGGGAATCACAACAGGTATAAATCCGTGATTCATTCTACAGATTTCAGAACATGCAGAACCAACAAGCAAGCCTATTCAGTTATATAAAAAAACAGATCATTGAGTTAATCACATCAATTTTTGCACTTAGAAGGAATTGTTCAAGAATGAATTACATCCATTCTTGAAATGAATTATACTAATATTAGTATTATGAAGAATAATTAAAAAATTATCTACATTTAATAATTGAAACATTAAATGTAGATAACAAGGCTCATCTTTTGATACTATATAAGAATCGAAACCCTTTAAACCTAAATCTCTGTATTCATAAGATTGTTATCACTGATGACTAAGTACCTTTACTGTTAACTCAAGAGATTCAATATCTTCGATTAAATAGAACTAGAGGAAATCTCGAAAGGTGAGCAGGCTGTGGCCAAAGTAAAATTAATAAGTTCTATGTACACATGAAAAGAAAATATATAAAAATTTGTAAATAATTTTTTTGTTGCCAAACCAGGAAATAAAACTTTTTGACATTTCAGGTATGTGTATGACATCATGATTTAAATTTAATGAAATGTAACAACTTTTTTCTCAGTATCATTAAAAGAATTAATGCAACATTAATGAAAATTTCCAACGTACAATGATGTAGTAACATTTAACTGCATGCTTTTTTCAATGTCAGAATCTTACATAATAATTATATGTTTAACATTTGGTAATGCTGTTTTTATTTCAAATTTTGTAAAACTTAGAAATTTTGATTAACAAACTGTGTGATTTGAAAGTGGGCAGTGACAATGCTTTTTGAAATAAAGAATTTTTATCTCCAGTGCATAAGACTATTGCACTAGCAAAAATTAGTGTGAGAATTAGTGTTTTCAGAGTTTTTAATAAATATCTTGGCTGATGAAAGTTGTACAAACATGAGAATGGTCGAAATGAATTCTCGCGAATTTTTGTAATCCCATAGTACATCTCTTGAAACTCAATTCCCCACCATTCTGGAAGAGATGATGTTACAAAGAAACATATAGATGCACAGAGATTTTAATAGTATAAATAATCATAATTAAGGAAAAACAACACTAACAATGCAGGAATACTAGTTCAAACTCTGTTTCCTGGCCAATAAACAAAAACATTCAAATAAACCTAAATTATAATTCTTTTTTAAATGCGAACTATTTAAAATACACTCCAACAAAAGTATAATTATTAATACTATTACAATTATAGTACGGCAGTGAAAAAAAGTATAAGTTCTTCTGTTATAGGAAATGAAGCATTTTAAAATATATTGACCCTCACATCAGCACACATTTTTCATGTAATAAACTCATTAAAGGTATAATCTAACAGAGAGGCTCTTTTTTTTTCATTCCACTGATGAACATATGTGACCAGCTTTAAAATCAGACTTCTTAATTACTAATCCTTCCCATACAATTATAACAAAAACTTAACACCCCAAATACAGATAAAATTGATCTGTAAGAAGAAATATTTCAGTATAAAACATCAGGATAATCAGCATAATGCCGTGGCTACCATTTAAGCCAAAAAAAAAAAAAAAAAATGCTGAGAAAAACGTTTAAATCTGCTATGATTATTACCAAAAAAGGAAAACGGACTTTTTTCCCCAGTTTCACGCCAAAAAAACAAAGGAAATGAATAAGTAATTGCAGCTAAAATCGCAAACACGACTGCTATTCTTGATGCATAATGAAAATAAGCTACTGCATAATTATTATGTAAAACATTATCAAATGAAGAACTCAATTGTACTACCTCTAATTATTCCTAAAGTAAATAAACAAATCTTACACACTATAATATTGATACACCTGTTTTAAAATAAGATCCATTTAAAGTTGCTATTTAACTAAAAACGTTAAATCTAGTTGGAACTGCAATAAGTATTGTTAGCAGCAGTAAAATAAGCCTGAGTATCAGCATCTATTCCTGCAGAAAGTATATGATAAACAAACGCTATCATTCCAACCATTGCATAAATTATACCTAATCTTTCAAACGTCTCTCACTTTCCAAAAGAAGCACTTAAGTACATTCCAAAGCCCAGCAAAATTTAAATATAAATCTCAGGATGACCAAAAAAATCAAAATAAGTTGTTTGAATACAATGGGATTCTCACTTCCTGCTGGATCAAAAAATGATGTATTAAAATATTGATCTGTTAATGATATAGTAATAGCACCCCCTACAAATGTTAACAACAATAATATTGCAGTAATTAATACAGATCATAAAAATAATGGAACTTTCTCCATAGTTATTCTATATTAACTACAGTTGAAATAAAATTAATAGCTCCCACTAAAGAAGCCCCTGCTAAATTCAACAAAAAAATTGCAAAATCAAGTGATCTCCCTACATGCTCTGTCAAAGAAACCAAAGATGGATAAACAGTTCATCCTAAAATCTAATTATATTTACCTCTAGTCCAAATCAAATTAATAATCAATCCTGAAATCTTAATACTATCAAGAATCTCAACATGTATATAAGTAACAATAATACCAAAGATGGAACTAATATATTTTTATTTATGAGATATCCGGTAGCTTACTTACACATTACATTGAAGTTTATATCTTATGCCATTCCTCACAATTTCAATAAAAAATAAGAAAGAAAGAAATTTTTAAACATTCACATGTATTTATATGATAATCTTGTATTAAAAAAAAAACTCTAAAATTGCAAATCTAGGAAATCTTTATAAAGGATCAAAATTAGAAATTATACTTACATAAAGGAAATAGATAAAAATAAACAATGACCAGTCCTTTATACTTTTTTTTTTTTTTTTTTTTTCTGGTGGCCATTTCCTTTTTCACATAGAAGGCCTTGGGAAAAAGGTAATCCAGGACTTACAATTATAACCATTTTGAATTCTAAACATTTTGGAAAATTGCATTAAATTTCATTCCAATATATTTAAAAATTACTGTTTAATTTTTCTAAAGAATCTCAAATAAAATAATCAAGAATTCAGTTATAGAAATACATGTAAAAAAATCTGCATTATTTTTTTTTCAACATCTGTTTAGACCTAGCTTAACAGAAGAATCAGACCCCTTTAAAAAGTGTATTTGCACATAAAAATTTAATTTTTATGGTGATTTTCCCAATCTTATAAATTATTCATCCACATAGAGATTTAAAGAACCCTTTAAACTCCATAACTCAATTATACATTCAATTTGATAATGGTGACTAATAAAATTAACAAATATTAGTAGTGCCAGCAGTTGCAGTTATACTATTAAATATAACTATTTTTTTCTACACTGAAATTTATTATTAATTTTCCAAAGAATATACAAGTGGAATTTATATTTATTAAAACTATTAAATTAATATTTAGTTAAACTTCAGTCTTTAAACAGCATTAGACAGCCCAGTAAATCTAAGAAGCACACATTTTTAAGGAAATGTATGCATTCCGGTGACACTGTTTTATTAGAGAGACCTGTTTATTAATTAATAATATAGTTTCAACATTTTTTTTAAATTTTCCTTCTCATTTTAATGGCGGAAACAGGGGATGGTTCAGTTTTACCATCTGCTATAGGTTTTTAAACTTTCTATCATATACTTTTACTATTAAGAAATGGATTAAAAAAAAACTGATAAACTATAATAGATAATTCAGTGCTTAATTCTGAGTTAAAAAGCTGTATATAGTTTCTCTTTAAATGGCTAGGTATGAAGAAAAGGAAAGATGTTATTTAATTTGAGAAACTTTTAAGAATCTAGTTTATTATTATTAAATAAATCTGATGTGTACACCACGACTTCCTTGTACGGAATATTACTCCTAAATTATACGTATTTTGCATTTCATTTCAACTTATTCGATTTAATTAAATCTACTTGATTAATAGCGCATAAACCACAATAGAATAAGTGCACTCTTTAAAATTCACTATGTTAGTTTACCATAGCGACACTCTGGCGCTAGCTTCACTTAACAACATTGCATCTCATTCATTTTATAATTCAGAATGCACAAAAATTATGTATATCATCTGGAGAATTACCTAATCGTTGCCACATGTTCTATTCAAATATTATAATAAATCTAAAAACGATGTGTATATTAAATATTACGAAGTAAATCTTAAACACTTATTTCCTCAAATAAACTCCAGAATGGATTAAGCATGATTTAACTCGCAATAATAAAAGAAGGCGTTATCTTTGTTGCTGGGAAGCTTAGTTTCTCTAGAGTGGCAATAAATCCATTCTCCCAAGTTTCAAATGTACACAAATACGGCTACCACGGGAAAAATGATTAGGCTTAGCCACACTTAAACAACATTTAAACTGTTGATAATTCTACAAATCTTGCATGCAGATTTGCTAAAGGCATAAAAACCTTAACCAGGAGATAAGAACAATATAATTCAATCATTTTTAAAGCACAAAACGCACAATTTACCAACATATAAA